CCCAATGTCATTGGAATTTTAGACCTTTAATATCCTGATATGTTTCAGATTTTTGTATAATTTCTAATATAACTTTCTGATTTTATGCATGATACATACTTATAAAAGTCTCCTTTATGTCGACATCCATAAGCCTTGAGACTGCTGCTGGGTGCTGCTATTTTGGCTGTAATGTTAGCAGACTTAAGTGACACCACATAGTGAACCCCTTTTTCCCCCCTTTGGCATCTACATAAAAGGTTATGTGGGGAGAGGTGAAGGGAGTGAATAAAAATTGTTTATGGAAATGAAAAACACATTTTTATTAAATAATTGTTTTTTTTCTGTGATTTTACCTGCAATTTTTAAGTTGGTGACAGGGTCTTTTTGATAATTAAAAGAGAAAATAAGGCATTCAAGAGATAATAAACATAATATACAACCTTTTTTAAAAATAGGCTCATTATATGAAATTTAGGGATGCACCGATACCATTTTTATTGGCGAGTATGAGCACTGATACTTTCAGTTAATCACTCGCTGATATCGAGTACCGATACTTTATGGTGCGGTTTGCGTTAATGGACACAAGTTGCACTGCAATGAATAGCATGCGATTTGTACAGAAATGGGATTCCTGTCCATGTGGTTTCCCCACTGCTCCTGCGTAAACTCAGGCTTGTCATAAATTTCAAATCCCCGCCACTTTCTCTCCTATCCTACCACTGACACTTAGCATGGGATGCTTGCAGGGAGGTCTCCCACACCGTACCTGTGTGAACTCGGGCTATGACAAGCCTGGGTTCACACAGGAGCAGTGAGGAAACAGCATGCGATTTGGACAGGAATCGCGTTCCTGCTCAAATCAAATGCTAACCCTTGCAGTTTACGAACGCCTCGGTTTACGAAAGTCTCGGTGTAATTTTTGGTGTACGAAAGAAAATCCATTGAAAATAAAGCCTCGGTTTACTAATTTTTTTCGCAATATGAAGGAAGTTTCTCCAGGATGCATTGCGCCTGGGATGTTTATAGCGCCGGCCCCGTGCCTTTAAAGTGCACTTTATAAAGAGTTTTGAACAGATAAGACTTTTTTTTAACTCTTTTCTGACCTCCGGAATGGATTAATTGGTTTTCAATACACTTACGATTTTTTTTTTTTTCGCAATAAGAAGCAACTTTCTCCAGAATGAATTGCGCCTGGGAAGTTTATAGCGCCGGCCCCGTGCATGCTGGAGTCTGTGGGTAGCACGTGGTGTCAAGTGTGGAGGTGTTGGAGAGCTTTTTGCATCGAGTTTTGAAGCCATTCTGGAAATTTTTAATCATGTCCCTGTAAAGTGCACTTTATAAAGAGTTTTGAACAAATAAAATACTTATTTTTTACTTTTTTCTGACCTGCGGAACGGATTAATTGGTTTTCAATGCATTCCTGTGGAAAACAGAGTTTTGTTTTACGAATTTTTCGCAATACAAAACGTCCCGGAGAACACATTAAATTTGTAAACCGAAGGTACACCTGTATTGTATAAGGTATCGGAAGTATTTTCAAGCACTCATGAAAATTCTCGGCACTGATACCGATTTTAGTGCTCTCCTAATGAAAATCATATGCAGAATAATGCTAAAGTTCAGCCTATTAATTGTAGGTGAGCTACTAATTGTACAAATGAAGCTTTCTCTATCACATACTTCCCTGTTTCTGAGGAAGTACAAGTGCTGATGAACTGAAGTGGAGCATGCATGATCTGTCTGTCAGGTCACATAGATATTTTCCAGCAAATTCCAGCAGAATCTCTGTGGCCTACAATGACTTTTAACAGTCAGAATTGGTTTTAAAGGTTCTTCAGAGTAGCTCTAGGTGGCCAATCCTTGCCTGAGGGTGCTAGAAGGGGACATTCATGGCTACAATTAGGCTGGCCAGAGACAGATTGAAGTTCAGCAGGACCTGGCAAAATTTCAATCCATCTATGGGCAGGATGGTTAGGTAGCCAACTATCCTGCTCATAGATGGATGATGTTACAGCTATTCTGTCAGGTTTTTGGGTGAGATCACTGCATGCTGACAGCGAAAGGGATTTCCCCATCAACACTGACTGTGTTGATAGAGAATTTGAGCGATTTTTTTTTTTTTCCTTCAATATATGGCTGAAGGAAAGAAAATTGCATCATCTATGGCCAGCCAAAGAAGCCATAGACAAGTAGAAAAATAAACGTTCGCTCAAACAAAAATAGAATGTTCAATTTAAAGCGGAGTTCCAGCTGAAAAAAAAAAGTCAGCAGCTAAAAAACTGTAGCTGTTGACTTTCAAAATACAGCCACTTACCTGTTCCTCGGTCCAGCGGTGTCCTCCCCATCGCTGATTTCACTGGCTGTCTTCTCTCCCTGGCGCCGGCATCTTTAGTGTGGGCACCTGGCTGTGACAGCTTGCGGCTTCACAGCCGGGTGCCCACTGCGCATGCGCGAGAAACGCTGCACTTTGTGAATGGCCCTGTAGTCTTCTGGGACCTGTCATGTGTCCCAGAAGACTACGGGGGGGGGGGGGGGGGGGGGGGGGGGGGGGAGGACAACTTCCGCTTCTGATCGCCTAGGCCAGGGGTAGGCAACCTGCGGCTCTCTAGCTGTTGTGGAACTATATTTCCCATGAGGCATTGCAACATTACAAAACTGACAGTTACAGCTATGACTTGCAGAGGCATGATGGAACTTGTAGTCCTGCAACAGCTGGAGAGCCACAGGTTGCCTACTGTCTGGCCTAGGCGATTGCAGCAGAAGTGGGAGCGGGTACCTGTCAAATTCAGGTACCCGCCCCCCAAAGGTGTCAATCCTTAATGCGTAGCAGGGTCAAAGCATTAAAGCGGAACTTCCCCTTTTGGGTGGTGTTCTGCTTTAACATGCGATAGTTGCATCCAGGGGAGGACTGACAGCTCATGGGGCCCCCGGGCAATAGGGGATCATGAGGCCCCTGTGTCCTTGACCACACTCAAAGCACACCCAAAAAAGCCTATAAAAGGTACCTAGGCATTTCATGGGGCCCCCTACTGACCCTGGGCCCTCAGGCAGTGCCCGAGTGCTCTAATGGTCAGTCCGCCCCTTGTTGCATCATTGTTTGGGGATTTGTGCAGCAAAATTACAACATTTTTCTGATTGTTCTCAACATAGACACATTTTTTTTTTTGATCGATTTCTTCAGTTCACGCACATTTCAATTTTAGTTTTTTTCTTGAACAAGTCCCCTATTAACAATTAGAAAATAATCTGTTCTGAAAAAAAATTCCAATGTGCGCTTGTTCAGTTTCAATGGGGTGCAAAAATCGCCTATCGCAATTGGCACACTAATTATGCAAAAATTTAATGATCGCTCTATCTACCTGAATTTTTGTTGGTTTTTCCACTCATCTGTGGCCTGCTCTAAAGTGGAACCCCAGGCAAAAATCATAACTAGATGATCTCAGATATATGCCCTTTATATGACCTACCTTACTCCTCTGGCTCAAGCATACTACTCTCACCCGTCTGATGGATAACTAGTGGCTTCTAATTCCTAAGTTACGGGTGCGGGTGTCTCTTAGTTATCTCTTCCTGTAAGCATGTTCAGTGTTATTAATAAGCACTATGAAAAGCAGTTTTCTGATTGGCTGACAGTGCTGCTCCTTCCTCTCCCAGTCTGAGTAATGCTGTCGGGGGATTACAGGGGCCCGGTGTAAAGGTGTGGATACATGTGCTAGTTTTATGTAAAATATATTTTTATTGAAAGTAAGAATCTTTTTATTAACAAAAAAATTATAATTTGTGATCAGTTTAATACATTTAATTTTAATATAATTTATTTTTTTTTTTTTACGTGTTTGGATAGAATGGCATTAAAGGTTGGGGGAGAGGGGATATCTAAGGAAATATACATACAATGTTACAAAGCCTAGTACATATGGCTGTTTAGACAAATGTAGCAATAATAGGGAACAATAGTAGGGATCTTTCTGTCTTTACAAGAACACAACCATGAAGTGTTACATTATGACTGCAACAGCACTGTGTTTGTGATCTGGGCAAAAACTTGAAATAATGTACATTATTCATATCTGTTGGCACAATAGGATCCAGGTTTTTTTTTTGAAAAAAATGAATTAATGCACCTGCATGAATAAAATATGTGCATTTATTAAATGTTTGTTTTGGAGTCTGCAAAGCATGGCAACCATAACTAGTAGATCCCATGTGCAATGCACAGACTCCTGCAGACCTTTCCCCCAACCCCAGGTCCTTACCTCAATACGGACCTTCAGTTATGCAGCTGGAGGAAGTAAACAATGGACTACAGGTGCAGATATCACTACAAGTGTGTTCCACTGAGATCTACAAGGCCTGCCGTGGTGGTAGTTTTCCATTCACAGATCCCTGAATGGATTACACATCTGTGCCTGCTCTGTGACCATGTTAGCAGATCCGCTTGCTCAGCGGGGGAATGTCTCCGCTGATCCCAACTGAGCAAGTAGATGACAGCTCTGTGTCCGCTCCGCTGCTGCAGAGCAGACACAGAGCTGCTCACTCTCCTCAATGGGCGGTCGGATGAAAACAGACTGCCTGTCCATTTTCATCCGACCCGATCCGGTGGACGGAAGGGGAATTGGATTCTCATCCATCCCTTTTTGGCAGATCGGATTTGATGTCGGCGGGTATAAACGAACACATGTCTGTTTACACCCGCTGCTCCTTAGAGGAGAATGGAGGTTCCGATCAGGTCCGCCTGAAAAACAGGCAAGCAGACCCGATCGCAACGTCCATGTGAAAGAGGCCTTAGAGTCCTTTCTCACAGGCATTCTGTTTTTTTAACCACTTGCCTACCGGGCACTTATATCCTCTTCTTTACCAGGCCAATTTTCAGCTTTCAGCGCTGTCGCGCTTTGATTGACAATTTGCGCGGTCATGCAAGATTGTACCCATATGAAATTTTTATCATTTATTTCTCACAAATAGAGCTTTCTTTTAGTGGTATTTAATTGCCGCTGGGCACTTTACTTTTTGCGCTATAAACAATAAAAATTGCAAAAAAATTTTTAAAAAAAAGTTTCTTTGTTTCTATTATAAAATTTTTCAAACAGGTAATTTTTCTCCTTCACTGATGTGCGTATATGAGGCAGCACTGATGGGCACTGATAGGCAATACTGAGAGGCAGCACTAATGAGGTGGCACGGATAGGCGGCACTGATAGGCAGCACTAATGAGGTGTCACGGATAGGCGGCACTGATAGGCGACACTGATGATGGGTACTGATAGACAGCACTGATAGGTGGCACTGACTGGCATCACTGCTGGGCACTGACTGGCACAACCGCTGGGCACTGACTGGTGCCACTGACTGGCAGCACTGCTGGGCCGCACTGATGGGCATTGGTGGGCACAGGTGGGTGGCAATGGTGGGCACAGGTGGGTGGGCACAGGTGGGTGGCACTGCTGGGCACAGGTAGGTGGCATTTCTGGGCACACTTTTTGTGACACTGCTGGGTGGCACAGGTGGGTGCACTGCTGGGCACAGGTGGGCAGAGCTAGTGGGCACACTACTGGGCACAGGTGGGCAGAGTTAGTGGGCGCACTGCTGGGCACAGGTCGGCGGAACGTGTGGGTGGCACTGCTGGGCACCGATCATCAGGGCACTGATCATCAGTGCCCTGATGATCGGTGCCGATCCCTGCTCTAACAACTGCCGGTTCTCGGCAGTACTTTCCTCACGATCTGACAGAGTGAGGAAAGTGCAGCCGAGAACCGGCAATTGCATTTCCCGGTGATCAGCGTGTCATTGGACATGGCTGATCACGTGGTAAAAGGCCACTGTGATTGGCCTTTTACCACATCACGTGATCAGCTGTGTCCATAGGACCGTATGTCCATTTACATTCGGTTTTTTTTGTCCGTTCCGGGGTTTTTTTACAGAAGAAAAATAGAATTTCTTCCATTAAAAAAAATGGATGTTAACTGATGCGGACATTAATGGTTGTAAACGGATGATTATCCGTTTACATATACTAGTCCATAGAAATACATGGGTGTCAGTTTTTCATCCGTAAGTGGACAGATGAAAAACGGACATACTGAACGCCATGTGAAAGAGCCCTTACACTGTAAGGCCAGCCATATATTATACAAGTTTCCTTTAGATTTACTAACCATATAATATGAAGTCAAAACTAAACACTTTCAATTTATATGCAATCAGGCAGGCCCTTGCACCACATAGTTGAAGGTAAGTCTAAAGGAAATTGAACAAGAAAATTGTATAATGTATGGCCAACTTAGGTGTAACATAAAACATGGTCCCAAAGGTGGAATTATCCTTTAGGTAGACTGGCAGTTGATATTTGGGTTTTTATGTCTTGTTCCCTTGAATATTCCAGTATTTCTTTGGTATCATTAACTGAATTTGTAGAAACTAAAAAATACTAATTTTATTTGAAGAAGGTTGTTCTAAACCAGGGGTCTCCAAACTTTCTAAACAAAGGGTCAGTTTACTATCCTTCAGATTTTCAGGGGGCCAGACTGTAGCTCCATCCTTGGTGTTGATGGGAGGAATTATGTTCCATCCTTAGTGTCATTGGGAGGAATTGTGCCCCATCCTTGGTGTCATTAGGAGGAATTGTGACCCATCCTTGGTGTCATTAGGAGGAATTGTGCCCCATCTTTGGTGTCATTGGGAGAAATTGTGCCCCATCATTGGTGTCATTGGCAGTAATTGTCCTCCATTATTGGTGTCATTGGGAGGAATTGTGCCCCATCATTGGTTTCATTTGGCCTCATTGTTAGTGTCATTGTGTGAAATTATGCCCCAATGTTGGTGTCAGTGGATAAAATAGAGTCCAAAGGGCCTGGCAAAAGCAAGCCCAGGGCCACATCTGGCCCGAGGGCCGCAGTTTGGGGACCACTGTTCTAAAGAAAAAGTTTTGAAGAACAAAAAACAAACATGATAGCAGTTATTATTTTTGACCACTAGATGAGAGTTAGCAATTAAGAAGTCTTTTTTTTCACTGCTAAAGCCAAGCCAGAACATAAAACAATAGTTGGGAGATGTCATTTACAGCTATAAATAATGTGCAAGTGGGCTTCAAAGGGCCACATGACCACGAGAAACACCTGCTAACATGGAAGCACCCATCCCCTGATTCATGTGATATTAGTTCCAGGCCAGTGGCAGTTGTCACCTGGTACATTGAATATTATAGTGGTAGTAAAGTCGGATTTTTGTTTTCATTTATACTTACAGGTAAGCCTATCAAACTTGCACCTATAAAACTTGCACCCCCCCAGATTTCACTTGTACCCCCTTCCCTCCCCAGACTAACCACATGATCCATAGATCAGACTGTACTCAGTGTGATTACCACCCTCTATGTCCTCCAAGGACTGCTAATCTTCTGGGAGCAGCAGGAAATGTGGATGGGGGGGCGTAATTATACCATGTACAGTCTGAACTATGGATCTGGCCTCGTCCTCCATCCTGCACCACACCTTACTGACCCCCTGTGCTCTGTTCTGCTGACCCTGTACCCTGCTCTACTGACCCCCTATCCTCCTCCCTGCTGACCCCTGTACCCTGCCCTACTGACCCCCTGTCCTCCGTCCTGCTGACCCCTGTACCTGCTTTATTGACTCCTTGTCCTCCATCCTGCTGACCCCCATACCTGCTTTATTGACTCCCTGTCTTCCAACCTGCTGACCCCTGTACCCTGTCTTACTGACCCCTGTCCTCCATTCTGCTGACCCCCATACCCTTCCCTACTAATCCCCTGTCCTCCGTCCTGCTGAGCCCGTGCCCTCCATCCTGCTGACCTCAACTCCCTGCCCTACTGACTCCCTGTCCTCCATCCTGCTGACCCCCGTACCCTGCCCTACTGACCCCTGTCCTCCGTACTGCTGACCTCTGTACCCTGCCCTACTGACCCCCTGTCCTAAATCCTGCTGACCCCCGTACCCTGCCCTACTGACCCCCTGTCCTCTGTACTGCTGACCCCTGTACCCTGCCCTACTGGCTCCCTGTCCTAAATCCTGCTGACCCCCGTACCCTGCCCTACTGACCCCCTGTACTCCGTACTGCTGACCCCTGTACCCTGCTCTACTGACCCCCGTCCTCCATTTAGGGGGGGAACTTACAGTTGAGGAAATAGTACTGAGGCCACAGTGGGGAGAGGGGTAAGAATCACTCTTGTACACTCCCCTGCTGACCTCTCACTCTCTGCCCTGTTGACTGACTGTACACTTCCCTGTTGTGCGCTGCCCTAGAAACTGCACCCTACTGACTCTTATACACTGCCCTGCTGACCTTTCATCCTCTGCCCCCCTGTCATTTTTTACTGCACCCCCACATCTGACAGGCTAGATACAGCTCTGCAGTTTAAGCCTACACACTGTCAGGCTCAGAAATCAAAGGTGGTGTTTTGAAAAACAATTCATTGAATGGGCGGGACCTATTTTGACAGATGTCAATATGTATTTATACTGTGTAATCAGCATATTCTGATGTTCTAATTTTAAAGCTGTAATTTACTGTAAATGCCAAAAGCTCTTAACAGAGCGGCTGAAATATCAAAGCATTATACAAAAAATAAAAGTTTTACAGAAGTTTACACATATTAATAAGCATCATGCAGTGCTCAGTGATTGCCCACGGTAATTAACTTCACTATGTAAGCCTTGAGTCATTTACATTTCTTCAGAGGTAATTACCTGGTAAAGCAATGGAGTCAGTAATGGTAATGCCTACAGAAAAACACTGACTTATTTATTCATGTAAAACATTTATTCCCCCCAAAAAAAATCTGTTTGCTCCAACTGCTTATAAATGTAACGCCCTCTATTGCAGTTCGTTTTTTGTGAATAGTTAGAGGCTTGCTAGAGGCCTGGGTGTGAGTCAGCCTGGGAGTAAGTCAGCAAGGTTACTTCAGGTTGGAGGGCTCTACAGGTCAGACTTCTGGTACCTCCCCCTGCTCTAGAGACTTGCAGAAGTTTCTAGAAGCCAGTGGGTGGAGGTCAGGAGGGGCTGATATGCATATTTATAGGAGTCTGACCAATCCCAGGCAGGAGGCTGTGTAGTACGGGAGATCAGCCCATAAAAAGGGGAGAACCTGGCCAGCAGGAGAGTCGGGTGAAAGATGGAGGAGGAAATGCTGCTGGTGTGGAGCCTGGGAGTGGGCACCTACAGGCTGAGAGCTGGAAAGAGGGACCTCCACTGTTCTACAGTCTACAGGAATGGACAACCTGTGCGGTTTTTATTTTTTGCGCTATAAGCAGAAAAAGACCAACAATTTTGAGAAAAAAAACAATATTTTGGACTTTTTGCTATTAACCACTTGCCAACCGCGCTATAGCAGATTGACGGCTACAGTGCAGTTGTCCAGTCCTTGGAGGGCATATGACGTCCTCCCAGAATGCACCCTCCCGAACGCCCCCGGAGGCACGCATCTGGCGATCTCAGTGGTCACTGTGTCCTACGGACACAGCTGATCACATAATGTGGTAAAAGGCCAATTACAGCAGCCTTTTACCATGTGATCAGCTGTGTCCAATGATACAGCAGATCACCGGTAAATGCAGCTGCCGGTTATCGGCTGCACTTTCCTAGCATTGTTACAGCGTGAGGAAAGTACTGCCAATAACTGGCAATTGTCAGAGGACAGTGCCCTGATGATAAGTGCCACCCACCAGTGCCGCCCACCTGTTCCCAGCAGTGCCGCCCAGAAGTGCCCAGCAATGCTACCCACCTGTGCTCAGCAGTGCCACCCACCTGTGCTCAGCAGTGCCACCCACCTGTGCCCATCAGTGCCCAGCAGTGCCACCCACCAGTACCCAGCAGTGCCCCCAACAAGCCACCTATCAGTGCTGCCCAGCAGTGCCACCCATCAGTGCCATCAGTCAGTGCCGCCTATCACTGCCCATCAGTGCCGCCTATCAGTGCCCATCATTGCTACATATCAGTGCATCATCATCAGTGCCACCTCATCAGTGCCAGCTCATCAGTGCCGCCTAACAGTGCTGCCTATCCGTGCCACCTCATCAGTGCCGCCAATCAGTGCCCATCAGTGCTGCCTATCAGTGCTGCCTATCAATGCAGCCTCATTAATTCTCATCAGTGAAGAAGAAAAGTTACCTGTTAGCAAAATTTTATAATAGAAACATTAGAAAGAAAAACTTTTTTTATAATGTTTTGCTTATAGTGCAAAAAATAAAACACCCAGTGGCGATTAAATACCACCAAACGAAAGCTCTATTTGTGTGAAAAAAAGATAAAACTCTTGTATGGATACAATGTTGCATGACCGCGCAATTGTCATTCAAAGTGCGACAGCGCTGAAAGCTGAAAATTGGCCTGGGCAGGAAGGGGATATAAGTGCCTGATAGGCAAGTGGTTAAACATAAACAAAAATTACGGTACTCCTCCTATATCAGATACCCTAAATGCACACAAACACTTTAACCCCAAAAAGTGTATAAATCAAGTTATGGAAAGTGCTACTAAACCACAGAAAATCAAATAGAAATAAATAGAAATAAAAAATACAAAATAAAAATTAATAAATATATAAAAATAAAAATATATCAAACATAAAAAATGTCCAAAATAAATGTCCAAAATATGAAAAAATCCTCCTACAAGCAGTCAGCAGAATGGTATTCCCGCAAAGTGATGATCCCAATTATTCGTGGAGATCGAAAACCTCAAAAAAAGGGAAAACTCACATAGTGTAATACCTCAGATGCATAAAATAAAGCAAACATCACTGCAAACGCATGTGAATCCCACTAAACCACGCATGTGAATCACACTAAACCACACATGGTAAAAAAGTGAGTAAACGTGTGAGAACATGAATAACACTTGCATGCAGTGTCAAACCGTGAGAGTGTCCACATCTAATGGATATTATACCATTACCAGAAATGCAGCAACAACCAGCATATAGATCCTATTCAAGAGATCACTTAATAGATACAGCCATTGGAACATCACTTCCTCATCAATGTACCCTTTATGATTAAGTCAGGTGACGAAACGCGTCAAAGGGAAGTGACGTCACGACGCACAGCACAACTGGCAGCCATCTTTAATCCTGGAATCCGCTCACACAACTACAGTAGTGTGATTCACATGCGTGGTTTAGTGGGATTCACATGCGTTTGCAGTGATGTTTGCTTTATTTTATGCATCTGAGGTATTACACTATGTGAGTTTTCCCTTTTTTTGAGGTGCGATCTCCACGAATAATTGGGATCATCACTTTGCGGGAATACCATTCTGCTGACTGCTTGTAGGAGGACTTTTCATATTTTGGACATTTATTTTGGACATTTATTTTGGACACTTTTTATGTTTGATATATTTTTATTTTTATATATTTAATTTTTATTTTGTATTTTTTATTTCTATTATTTATTTCTATTTGATTTTCCGTGGTTTAGTAGCACTTTCCATAACTTGCTTTTAGTGGTTAAACATGTCCAGTAAAAAAATTAAAAAAAAATCTAATTTTGTCATAAATTTAGACCAAAATGTATTCTGCTACAGGTGTTTGCTATAAAAAATCCCAATATGTGTAAATTAATTGGTTTCCGTGAAAGTTATAGTGTTTTCAAATGGCGGTATAGATAATGTTTTTTTTTTTTCCTACTAGTAATGGCGGTGATCAGCGACGTTTAGCGTGACTGCGGCGGGCAATCTGACACTGGGGGGTCAGAATGTTAACTTAGAGCAGTGTTTCTCAACTCCAGTCCTCATGGACCCCCAACAGGTCATGTTTTCAGGATTTCCCTCAGATGAAACAGCTGTGGTAATTACTAAGGCAGTGAAACTGATCAAATCACCTGTGCAAAATAATGGAAATCCTGAAAACATGACCTGTTGGGGGTCCATGAGGACTGGAGTTGAGAAACACTGACTTAGAGTCACTGACATCCCCAGTGACATCAAAACAGTGATCAGTGCTAAAAAAAACAGCACTGACACGTACTAATGACACTGGGCAGGAAGGGGTTAAATTGAGGGGCGATCAAAAGGTTAACTGTGTGCTGTGAGTGTTTTAATAGGGGGTGGGGGGTATGTGCTTCACTGAAAGCACACTGATTGGGATGGCTGTGCTGGGCACAGCCATCCTGAGCAGTGAGCCCAAGCTGACAGGGAGGAAGACTGTAAACAAAACAGTCTTCCTCCCCGTTGGTGATTGTCGGTAATCACAGGGCGCCGGAGGGTAATCACCGGCCGGGACCAGGTGATTGACATCCGCGGCCACGAATGGCAGGGCAGGCGCCCCCTACCCAAAAATACAAAATCACGTATAAATACATGATTTTGCGCACCCATGAGGCCGTGTAGCAGTACATCTGCTATACGACAGCGGGTAAGTGGTTAACTAGCTGTGTATGGTGTGGCTGACAAGCGGTCAGGCTTGATCAGTCTTGTAGTCAGTACCTGTGTAGTGACAGCCGGGAACACGGCTAGGTATATTTTTTTGGTTGATATTCTCCTGCCCTGTTTAGTTTGGGTACACACTGTACAGCACTTTGTATATAGTCTTTTGTAAATAGCACTAATAAACACCTTCACTGGTTGCCACTAATCTCACTGGATGTGGTATCTGTGCCTGAAAGACTGCTTACCCCAGGAAGAATATATCCCAGCTGCCTATCCCCAGCTCACACCCCTAATAAAATAACAAAACCAAGCTTTTCACTCTTGACTTTGGATGCAAGAGTGGAAAATGCGTGTTGCCTGGCTGTGCAGGAAAATAAGGGGACCCAAAAGCAGCGGCTCTCACAAGGGTAGTGATACATAAAGTATTAGCTGGAATTTAGCTTTAACTGATTTAGTGAATCTAAATCTGCTAGTACATCTAAAGCTCCCCTCCTCCCAGGTTAAAGTGATTGTAAACACTTTTTTTTTTTAAGTAATAAATATGTTATACTTACCTGCTCTGTTCTGTGCGATGGAATTCCACAGAGTGGCCCCGATCCTCCTCTTCCCAGGTCCCCTGCTGGCACTCTTAGTTCCTTCTCATCCCAGTGGGCCCCCATAGCAAGCGGCATGGGCTCGACACGGCTTAGTCCTGCCACCCCTGCTCCCTTGTCACAGGATTTGACTGACAGCAGCAGGAGCCAATGGCTCCCATCGCCTCAGCAAAGCTTATGAGAGTGGGAGAGCTGCTACAGATGGGTGTAGTGCTGGATTGGGGGGGGTCAGCAGACAGTCTTCTACCTCAACATTTTTTACTTAATGCAGGGAATACTCTAGAACCACTTTAACAGTGCTGTTGTCCAGAGGTTCCCCCTGTGCTCCTTCATCCAGAGTGAGGACACTCTAATACAGGAGGTGTGTTACTTGTCAGATCACCAGGTGAAAACAGAGTGAAAACAGCCTTAAAAAAGAAAATTAATGCAGCCACCACATCTAATGATTGGTAAGCTGCAATATGTTACATTTCTGGCTTTGGCTTTAACGGCCGCCTAAAAGCAGCAGCATTCATAAAAATAATAACTGGCGATCCTGCCATGAAAATTTTTGTTCATTCACTTCCTGTTATAGGCTGACAACGCTCTGCCCTGCCTCTCAATAGTGCTCCTGCATTGTCACACGGTCGCAAGGGCACACCTGGCCGTTTCATCACATGATGATGACATGATTAGGACCCATGGTCCACTGTTGTCATCATTAAGAAATCCGTCTTGAGAAATAACACAAAGCTATTGATGAAGTGCATGGAGACAGGATGTGGCTGCAAGGAGATCAGTAGCGATGAGATACAACAAAGGAAGAAATCATGTGAAAACAAGTATTTTAATAAAAAATATTTATGATATACTGTACAGAGCTTCAGCAAACTAAAAGCCAATCAGAGTTTACATCTACTTTATTGGTACCATTGTCATATCCAATCACTATTTGTTTCTTCTGCTTGTGTTTGCACTAGCCCCACCCACTGCGCCTATGATTCTGATGAATCTGATTCCAGGACAGCCCCTGCAGCCTACACAACAGAAGAAGAAATCCTGCACCGTCTCAGCTGCTTCCACACCGAGACAATTTACATTTCTACAAGTATAATTAGATGGCTGTGATTTGTTCCAAGCAGCTCATGCTGAGATGAGGACAAACACAGGGAATTACTTACATCAGTTACATAAATGTAGCAAAATCTGTCCCGCCTGGCAATATCTACACTGCATAATATCGCTCTGTTATGTGTTTGTCACTGTGAGAACACTGGCTGCATGCTTCTACTGTTCTTAAAGGGCAAGTCCACCCAAATATGATACTTCAACTACTCATGTAGTTAGGTGTGATGCATCACCTGGTGGCTGCTTACATTTCTTGGGGACCCCAGTGGTGAGATCCCCAACATAACTGCTGGCTGTGATCTCAAACATGTTGGGGTGTTCCTATGTTCTCTGTGATTAAGCCTGGTATGAGGGAACATGTCAGAGCAGCATAGCCAGGAGGAGTTCAGGCTGAAGCCGTATCTTTACCTCTTTATATATAGTAGTGGCTGGGTTCTGATGTGCGGAGTTTCCACCTTCTGTCTTCTGTGGGTGCTTTTGTTTAACTTGGGGTGCTCCCTGAACCGCTAAAGAATTCTTCCTGATAAGATGAATTAGAAATCCAGTAGTGTGGTAGTCGACCACCCAAGTATGGTTGTAGAAGGTGCATCCTTGGGAATTGAAGTGCAGACATTTCACCACAAGATTCCCCAAGACCTCATTTAGACATGCAGTTGCGGGGGTTAAAAATGCGT